TACCCTTAAACACTTGTTTGAGTCTTTTATCCCTCTTTTTCATAACCATGAACCATGACCTACATTACGTTCCTTAAAAGTCTCTTCTAATCATACATGGATTTCTAAACAAAAGAGACTATTTCCATATCTAATCCCGCCCATCAAGATTAATCTTTATTTGCAAAAGGTTTTCTAAAATATTTAATGCATGATAGAGAAAAAATAACAAAGGGAGTTCAAGACGTAAATTCTGAATAACGTCTTGAAACCAAAGGAGGATTGGAGTTGAAAACCTGAAAAGGCGGCTCGAATATGAAGATGGTGTAACTATTCCATAAGAGGCGATCACACAAATCTCTTGATAAGACATTGCACAACCTGAATGTGATCATGAGAGTTGGGAGTTGAAGAACACTTCCAATAGATGAGCATACAAGCTACCCCATCAGATCAGTGAACATCAAAGAAACAAGAATGCCAAACCTTTGACCAAAAATAACAACCTAAGACATTTTATCCTCTCCTTATCCATTTCTTAAAGATAGCAATAATCTTGACACTTATCAAATAGCTATAATTTATTGAAGGATTAAAAGTGTAATTAATTCTATGATATCCAATGAACTATTGTTTTATGATTTGTCTCAATTATGAAACATAGAAAAGGGCAATATTTTCTCAAAATCTTTGATTAAACATTTTTAAAAACTTTTCTAATTGATATTTTTAGGCTTTTGAAAATGAAAGAATAAGAAAAACTTTTTTTAAACAAGACAATCTCTCTGGAGTGGATCTCGGTAGTTGACATGTGGTTCTCAGACACAAAGCTCATGCTTAGAATCAATACTGAAGCAAGAAATGATAAACGATAGTGGCATCTTTGGAGATTCAACATCGAATGTTGGGGCATCTTTGGAGATTCAACATCTTGAAGTGAACGATCAGATCTTTAGAAGGCCTTTCCTCCACATGTAGGAACAAGCATACTGTTTTTTGTCTTTGAGATTGTTTCTCTCAAAACAAAGTGTCATCTCGCTAGAGACAACTTTTCTTGAAAAAATAAGTGTCGTCTCGCTAGAGACAATTTTTCCTAAAAACAAATTTTGTCTCGCTTGAGACAATTTTTACTCAAAACAAGTTTTGTTCTCTTGAGATAGTTTCTCTTGAAAAAGTCTTTGAGTTTGTTTCCTTGAAATAAATTTTGTCTCTCTTGAGACAGTATTTCTTGAAACACCCATCTTTGAAATCGTTTCCCTTGAAACAAATTTTATCTCTCTTGAGACAACTTCTCTTGAAGCATCATATGTGGTTCAGTTTTTCTTGAAACCATTATACCTAAAGATGGCCTGTCGTCCTCATCGCGTAGGAATCATGTCATCCCCCGACCAAATCTCCTCATCATGTAGGAGCCGTGTTACCCCTAGATAACAAGCCGTCCTCATCATGTAGGAACCGTGTTATCATCCCTAAAGATGACCTATCGTCCTCATCACGTATGAACCGTATTGTCCATCAACTAGACCTCCTTATCACGTAGGAGGTGTGTCACCCCTAGATAACCAGCCGTCGTCATCACGTAGGAACCATGTTATCACCCCTAAAGATGGACTCTCATCCTTATCGTATAGGAACCGTGTTATCACCCCTAAAGATAGACTCTCGTCCTTATCGCGTAGGAATCGTGTCATCCTCGACCAGATCTCCTCATCACGTAGAAGCCGTGTTACCCTTAGATGACTAGAACTCTTCATCACGCATGAGACGTGTCGTTCCCAACAACAAACACTATCAAATTCCAAGGAAAAAAAAGAAAAAAGGAAAAAAAAGAAAAAAGAATCAGACAAAAACTGGTTGTCTTTTTCGTCTTTGCCCTATTCTTGTTAACACAAGAGTGTACAAAGAGGGGCAACTGTAGACACCCATTTTTTCCAGGTCTACAAAATTATTATTATTATATTTATTTATTATTATTTATTATTAATTATTTTGTTTACATTTTTGCAGGCCCAATTTACAAAAAACCCGAAGCCCAATGAGCCCAAACCAGATTACAAACAAGTGACCGAGTTGAAGCCCAATTACAATAACCAACCCAGTACCAGGCCCAAGGTCCGACCCAAGATCTAGACCCAATACTTAACCCAAACCGACCCAATCTTTATCCTATAACAATTAGGGTTTTAAAACCAAAAGGTATCATCCAACAGCCGTCGCCGCCATTTGCTGGAGTAGAATAGTTGGACCCTTCATCTTCTAGACACTCGTGAATTGTACCGTTCATCCCTCAGCCACGTGAGCCACCGCCATCATTATCAATGTCATCCACAGTGCATCAACAACCCAAAAATCAGAGAAAAATCAGAAAACCATACCTAAATCCAGATTTTTCGGGATTCAATCTACCTTAAATCAGAGGACCATACCCCTATGGTAGGCATCATCATCTTATCACCAGACAATTAACATGCAAAGCAACCATAAAAGAGACAGAGGAATTCAGTGAAAAAAATAATAAGGAGAAACGAGGGAGAGAACTAAAATCATTCAAACATAAAATAAAAATCGTCGAAAAAAGGAAAACACTCACCTTTCGCCGAGATCTGGTCCTTGGTAGTGCCATCAGAGTTAGGAGAGCCCATTCGGATGTAACCATTTTTTCTTTTTGGGTTTTTCGGTGAAAAGGGTTTACAGTTTTAGTTTTAGGGGGCTTTGAGTGTTCGAGGGGCTCAGTTTATAAGGTTTTAGAGGTGATAAGGAGGGGTATAAAGTTGTTTTACTCCTCGTGGCCACCGATCTATGGTTACCGGGGAGCTGTGTTTATTTCTTCGGCGATGAAGCAGAAGAGGGGGAAAATGAAAGATATGGGGAACGACTAAAAGGGGAGGAAGGGAATGAGTTTACGGTTTCCAAATAACCATTAAGTGGGTTATATCTCAACCTCAGAACGACATTGTTTTGAGCAAGGAGGGGGAGACCGAGCGCCTAGGTTATGGGATAATATCAACTTTGGTCCTTATGGAATTGTAATATTACCCGTGTTTTTCACCTTTTGAGGGTAAATCACAGTTTAGATCCCCTTGTCTTTATAATACTTATATTTTAGTCATCAAATGAAGTTTTCTTGTTCCTGTTCTTAACTGTAATTTTTGATATGGTTGTATTTTAGTCCTGAGTTTTTCTATTTTATTATTTGGTTAATATTTTCGTTTTAAGCAACTAAATTATAATATGTTCATTTTAATTATTATTTAGGGCTTTTTTTACAAGATCAGTCACTCCACATTTGTTGAATAATTATCTAGTCATTATTTTAATTTTGATTATTTCGCATATATGTCAATATATTTATTGTGCATTTCATTTGAGTCCTTTGTGATTAATGCAAGAAATGGGTATTATTTGTACTCTTAATATTTTATTTATTACATTGTATATCCAAAGCATCGTTTTAATCTACATGATAAATATACACGTATACATAATATTAAATATTAGATTCTCTATCAAGTATATGTAATTTTTCAACTTTATCTTAACTTCAACATGGTGTTTGATATTTGCAATTTTTTATTCGTCTTTATTACGTCTATATGTGTTGCTTGTTCTTGTGCTTCATGGATATACATTGTTTTGGTGTTATACTTTGTTTGGTGTTATATATTGTATTTTCATGCTTCCATACATTGTTTAGACGTATTTTTTTTTATATTTTCAAGAACACGTATTTGTATAACGGACGTGGAAAATATCACTTGATCGAAGTGGTATAATTCGATACGACATTCGAACGAAATGATATTTGAAATTAATCAATTTTATTTTATTAATTAATTCATTTTTATTTTAAGTTGAACAATGCAATGCATGTTTATAAATATCAATTTATTTTATGCAAATGCCGATTTTTCAATTGATATTCGAGTTGCGTTTTTAATAACATTGACGAGTGGAACATTTCTTGTATAAGGGAGAAATACACGAGATAACCTTCGCATTGGAGGATGTGTAAATCTCGTGATTTCTTCTCGAATTAATAATCAACTCGAAGTAAATTAGTCAAACTTTAATAAATTGGTCATATTTTAACTTTATTTTTGATCTATGATTTCCACTATTACGATAACGTGTAAGCAACACAGTACCAATTTTGGACATTGTGGGGGTGCTAATTCTTCCCCACGTGTAACCGACTCTCGAACCCGTTAAAATGAATATTTGATAACGCATACCGATTTTTGTCTTAAAAACGGTTTTTCCTAAAATTGTTTTAAAGGACGTTTTTAGGTACTCGACCTAACTAGCCCAAAGGTCGATGACGACTCATATCCAATTTAATTCCAATCAATTCAAAATCACCAAAATTTCAAAATAAAGTCATAATTACTTTTTAAAATAATATTTTAATTGTTTTTCAAAAAATTGGTTATGACAATAGGTACTAACTCGCAGTGTAAAATTTTTCTTATTCATCTTCTTACCAAGTCATTTGAAGGAAGTATGAGACGTAATGTATTTGGGAATGGCTATTTCATCTTCCTTGAACAACATAAATCAAAATATACACAAACTCTACCTTCCTAAATATCCAAATTAGCAGATAACAGAGATAGACACATGAATTTATATTAAAAATTAGAAGGATGTAAAATTAAATAATCAATAGAAATACAAAAAGAATCTAATATATAAGAGAAATTGAAATTTCTAGAGGTGGACCGGACACCCTGGCACCCCTATCGGTCCATCCTTGCCTGGGAATGGCTAGATTCTCTTCCTCTATGTGTGTTTTGTACATGTTTCTTTTCAGTTTCAAACGACCTAATGGATGAATTTGCTTCTGTGGTACAAGATAACATACAAATGCAGTAGTATGGGGCTAGTAGTACCTTGGTGTGATCAACTCAAGTGCCATGCCATTCATCTATGGTGGAATTCCTAACAAGCTGCGGGTGAATTCAACTGTAAGATTCATAGTAATACAAATAAAATTCAACTGAGGGTCTGTTTTCCAGAGAGGATTACAAGCTGAGATCCAAATGAAGATCCAAGTATTTACACCTTTGCTTTGATGGATTGTCAGCTGGTGTTATGGTGAACCCCGGTGAATGTTGCTGGAAATGGATGATTTGGTTAGATGCATCCTGCTGGTATTTCTCGAAACTAATTTGTGATTTAGAAGAGTTTTGGTAGCTAAAACCAAAGCTGTTTTGTAAAGGGTGAAGATAAGAGTAGATGCTGGCTGCTCTCATGGCCTCAACTTGCAATCTTTTCTTCTTCATCCTCTCTTTCTTGTGAGCATTCTGATGCCCTCCCAGCGCCTGTGAGTTTGAGAATTCCTTAAAGCAGTATTGGCACTCAAATTTCTTCTCATCCGTACTCGAATTCACGCTTTCGCAGCCACCATTGACACGATCGTTCTTCCTCGGGCTAAGCTCGAAACTGAACAGCTTAAGCTTCTTCTCGCCACGGGATCCAGCTTGAGAATAGCCATTTTCACTCTCACATGTTTTAGAAGCACCACTGCAATCATCTTTTGCCATCTCTATGTGTAAATGTATTCAGATGGCACTAAATGTCTCTATACGAATAGACTGTGGATTCCATGTATAGCGTTTCCTTTATATAGTAATTATACGGTATCCTACAATTCAATGCCATGAATATATTAATTAGTAAAGATGAACATCCTAGAAAAACAAGAATAAAATAACGGCAGACAAGTAGAAAAGTCTAAGCAATATTTGATCTTCATTTTTACTGTAATTAAAAAAATCATAATTTTATATATTATCATTAAAATAAATAATCTGACCACACTTGAATATTTTAGTGGTTAAAGGAAATATTATTTTTCTAGAAGTCTTGGTTCAAGCAACTGCGTCTATGGGTATGTGTTTGTAGTCAATGACTACAAAAGCTTATGAACATATATTACTTTATAATTATCTTAAACTATTAAAAAATAATATGACCTTATTTAAATATTATTTTAAACTTGAGAAATAATCAGATGATTTAGCTTAAATTAGAGGAAGATAAAATATGCTTAACTTTGTAACAAAGAATTTATTTGAAATAGATAAAAGACAATCAATAATGGTAGCACTTTGAATTCTTTAAAAGAAAAAAATATTCCACTTTGTAGAAGATTATTAAAGCTATTATTAAACTAATCCCTAATTTAGAAAAATCAAAGAAAGAAGGGCTTAATCCTAAGCTTTGCAACTGTACTTTAAAATCCCTCAAATTCATGATTATTTTATTAAACCAACTAACACTCAGTCAGTGGATTGACCATATAATTAGCAATGTGCAGAAGCTTTTCCAAATTAAATTATAATAAACCCTTAATTAAATATGTATATCCACCACATGTCTCCAAATAAACATGCTTAATCAATTCCGAGTTCCCATAAAAGTGAGATTATTCAGCACTTGTGAAGCTTCTATGCAGTTTTCCCCCTCCACCCAAATTTCTTTTTAGAATTATGGTTTAAATATGCTTAGTGTCTATATTATTTTATAATTTATAATTTAATCTAGCTGCTTTAAATTTGCAAAGCATTGGTCTCCATATTATTTCTTAAAAATGTAGGAGATAAATCAATAAAAATTGTAAAGGAAAGAAGTTATATTTTCCTTTCTTTGTGATATTAGTTTAATGGTTTATGGACTTAATATCGTAAGAATAAAATTTTGAAATTATAAAAGACCTAACTATTTAAACGACAAATAAATATGTTTTGTTAAGGCGAATCAAGCAATGAAGTAATATAATATTATACATAATCAAAGCACATGTGTTGGACCAGACTTGGTAACTTTTGGGATATGAATTAGATTACGTTGTGAATTCAAAGTCTCTATACATAGCTTTGATAAGATTTTTATTTAATATAAAAAATAGTTGATTGGTTTTAGGAGAAGAATTCCAAGGAGGCATGCTGTCATGTAATGAAGCATTATGGTGGGTTGGTTGGTTTAATTTTAAATGAATTGATTGATTTGGCTTAAAATTCAATTCATTTATTAACTGCTTCGAGAGGCATAGGATCCTAAGGTGGTCCCTGGCCACCCATAAACAATGCCAGGATTGACTTTGCTTACGTCGATAACTTTTACTATCATTTCACCCAGGAATGAACTAAAGGGGGCGATGGGCGTTTCCACGCAGATGCGTTTTTATTTACGTGATAGCTCATTTGATAAATATTTTTTTAGTTAATATCATTCATAGTTAAAATAATAAATAAAAATTGTACGGATTTTATTTAAAAATAAATAACACACGTAATATATGTTAATGACACATAATTACATGAGTATAAGTTAATCTACAATGACATACATGTATATATTTCGTTTTCAATCACTAAAAGAGTACATGCATAGACATCTATATTTAAGCACTTTGAAATCCAATATATAAGCAATGTGGGTTTTTTCATAATAAAAATCACGTATTATTTAATATGAAGTTTCAAAATGTTTAAATATAATTTTCTACATATGTATTTATTGAGTTATTGAAGATAAGACTTTTACATACATGTTGTTGATGTTGACAGGCATATAATTGTGTAATTACATGTCTTTGACATGTATCACATTCCTTGTTTCTTTTTTAATAAAATTCATATAGTTTTTTCGCTCGTTATTTTTTTTTTGTCTTTCATTTAGACTCTGAGTAATGTCAACATGGAAAAAATCGTCGGATGGCTTGTCATGTAACCAAAGGTACGTTTATGTGGAAACACCTTCTAAAAGGATCATTTTTAGGATATGCCTTTGTCCTATGTCTAAGTGGAATATGTGGAAATACCTTCTAAAATGAGCATTTTTAGGATATGCCTTTGTCCTATGTGGTCGAAATATGTACCATTTAAGGAAATTTTACTTTATATATATATATATATATATATTATAACATCTCTTTTTTATATAAATTCTAAATCTAATCCTACCTAGAGGAGAGAAGAGGGGAAGAGAAGGAATGAAGTGCTCATAGTAGTTCAGAATACACTGTTTGGTGTGGGTCCCACTATGTATGGATCCCTTAACCCTTAAACTCAATTAAATGGGTTGCTAGTGTAGACCAAGAGAACCCAGATTTTAGGACCTTTATAGTAGTCATTTCTCCTCTAAAGTGACATCCACATGAAGCTGAGAGGCAATGGTGTAGAATGTCTCCCTTTTCTTCTTCTGGGAAACACTTCTTAATCATTTGGTCGGTACATTGCTTGAATAGATAGGGCTCATCCCAATAGTAGAAGCCACATGATGCTTGAACTTCTTCTTTCCCTTTCTATTTAAATCAGGAGATAAAATGCCCCATTAATATTTATTTCCTCATCGAAGTCAACCTTGTTTTCTAGCCTATTAAGATGATCATCAAATTGGTTTTCAATTCCCTTTCTATCCTTAACCTCTAGGTTGAATTATTATAAGAAAAGTATCCATCTAATAAGTCTAGGTTTAGCATCCTTTTTAGTCACAAACTGCTAAATATCTTAATGATTAGTATGTACAATAACCTTGGTGCCTATGAAGTATGCTATAAACTTATCAAATGCAAACACAACAATCATCATTTTTTTCAATAGTTGTGTAGTTGATTTGTGCATCTTTTAAAATATGGCTACGACACATTTCGTTTCTATGTCAAATAATCTATCTTTAATCTCAGTAAAAAGAAAATAGAAAATAGTAAAAGGGAGAGTAAAATTTGATCTGCATGGACTAAGGAAGATGCCGACTATTTAGTTCTTGAATTATGATCTGGCAAAAAATTGTAAAACAAATAAAGAAGGGGGAGATTTGTTGATAGTTTATGAAGAAAGTAATTTTAAAGAAATAAAGATGAAAATACTATGAAATAAAGCCAGCCTCAGGCTTTAGATTTGCTTCAATTCCAACCGATCATTGAATAGGATTTTAGATTCGGATTCATGTCGGTTACAGCCTACAAGGCCCAACCCCTGTAAATTATTCTTCTCTCAATTAACCAATCATTAAAAATCAATCTTTGGATCTCACTACTTATGAGGACTAACCATGGCAATTGTTTGTTAAATCCAACTCTGTTTTAGTTTTGAAAAATCCTGACTCGGATTATAACGTCTCAATAAGATTGAACCCGATTTCATTTTCCCTTAGAGGTATGCAGCTAAGTGTGTTCACAAGAAGTCAAATGTTCTACAAGCCGATCCTTCCTCCAACTCTTAACCGAAATCGTAATCAATTCAACGTGCACTTTTTCAAAAGAAAACATTTTTTTATTATAAAAGGATGGCTGATTGCCAATCCTTGATTCCAGAAAATTGAAAATGTAACTCGAAGGGTATGTGGTGATTTTCAATTCTTACAATCAGAATTAAATCATCGCTTCAGTCTTTGGCTTATGAAAAACTTAGCCAAGGATGGTAGAAATCATACTTAGCATTTTAAAAGTATAGAAAACTTGCAAAGAAAAAGAAAAAAAGGAAAAGTAAAAAGTAAAGAAATTTTATAAAAACTAAAGAGAAGAACAAAAGAATTTGAGAGATAAGAGATATGCTTTTCAGCTCAACTCAATGGGGTATTTATACTCTCCTAAAACCCTAAAAATGTAGCAGAAATAACAAATAGATAAGTCTTCAAAAAAATTCGAACTTAATCCTAAAAATAAAAGATACTCTTGATTTCAAACTTCAGATGTATGACTGAGTCTCTTGTCTCTATGAAAATACTGACTGTACATTCTAGAATGTGCTGACTTGATGCCATGTCAAACGCAGTCATGCCCACTAAGCCAGCCATGATTGTAGAAAATGTAAAAATTGCAAAATTTCATCTCTTTTAGCACCATTCTAGAATCTTCTGTCCTGCATAGAAAGTGAACAAAAATGCCCAAATCAACAACTTAATCGACTAATCAAGGAGTAATTATCAACAAAATATTAACTAATTTAAGTACTAATCAAATCCCCCCTTACTTATTCAATGTTTGTCATCAAGCATGTCAAAAATCTCAAGTTGCCATCTTCTATTTCATAAAATTTCCAACATTTCTAAACAAATTAAATCAAGTTAATGAAGAAATTTAAGATCAATCAACCAAGGCACAAGTAATCAAATGTAAACAAATCATGACATTCCAATCATCCGTCATTTACAAAGAATTCAAGACTTAGTACCTCACATTGGTTCGCTCATTCCGCTCAAGTGTTTTGGGTTAATAAATCGCTTAGGCCTAAACTAATCAACATATTACCATAGGCTTGTAGCTAAAACTAATCTCCACTACTAAGTATGAATATGATGCAATAATCAAGGGGTCTTTAAACAGGTTGTAACAGGGCTAAGGTTCGGGTAGGATAAAGCTTAAAATGGGTTAAAAATTCAAGTCAAAGTATAGATTATTCCACAATTCTAATATAAAGGAAACACAAATAAAAGAGAGGAAATGAAGGATGAAACAATTGAAGATCAAAATTTTCTTCTTCTTCTCTTTCTTTATTTTCGCACTTTGTTTGGATTTTTTATTTTTTTGCTATTCAAA